TGATGAGGGTATCTACATGGTACTTAGCTTCGCTAATCCCCTATGGTGACAGGAATACTTGGGTTAGGCCAGACACAGTGTCGACACAAATCAAGGCATATTAAGAACCCTCAGTTGGAGGGAGGGGACCAACATCATCAACCTGCCAATCTGTCATCCATTGGCAGCTCCAGTGAACAGCCCTAGGGTCTTTTGGCAATTGCCTTGGGCATTGTTTAGAATGCACAAGACAAGTTGTTACTGCATTAACCAAGTCTATGTATTTCAAGGGCAATTTGGCAATATGCCATTCCACCTGGGCAGTAGTGTGGAACCTACTGAGGGGTCAGTACGAGGGCTTGTACAGAGCAATAGCATTAACTTCCTGATTGCCAGGAGGTGTCCTGCCTTATAAGCCAGGATGTAGAAGGCAGTGAGAAATGTCTCAGGCCCTTGCAGGTGAACCCAAATGTCCTTCCACATATCCTGACCTCACAGGGGCTTATTCATGAACATCCATCTCTCAGCTTCCCACTGGTCCAAACCATGGGACCTTTTGAATAGCCCAACTGTCAGTATAAAGGGTTAACGGCCAGGACTTATGAGTGATCACCAGCCAAACTGCTCTGAGTTCAACTCACTGGCTGCTGTAGCTCCTTCCTGTTGCAAGGAGAACAGATTCTTACTGAACTTATACAAAAAGCTATATAGGGGGGCGCCTGGGTGGCTCAGTGGGTTAAAGCCTCTGCCTTCGGCTTGGGTCATGGTCGGGGTCCTGGGATCGAGCCCCACAACACATTGGGATCTCTGCTCGGCAGGGAGCCTGCTTCCTCCTCTCTCTCTCTCTGCCTGCCTCTCTGCCTACTTGTGATCTCTGTCAAATAAATAAATAAAATCTTTTTAAAAAGGAAAAAAAAAGTCTAAAAAAAAGCTAAATGGACATGAAAATAAGAATACACAGTAAGAGTTTCCAAATTCTGGAAGGATCAGGTAGGGAAGAAAAGATAAGTGTTTCAACTTTGTTTATAAAGGTAGATGTTGGCAAACTGCTGATAGCTTAAGGAAAAAGAGCAAAAGGTTTTCTTAAATCTGGAAAAACAAGACCAAAAAAATCAATGTTTCCGATAAAAAGCCATAAAAATTATAGACATCCTTATCAGTTTTTCCATTAGAGTTCTGTAAATTCTTATTCAGTTCTATAGTATGATCTTAGGTATCAGACACCTGTACATGTCAGTCCTTTCCATGAGTCTCCTAGAAGATAAAACAATGTGCAGGAACACTTTTGCAAGGGCATGGGAGTACAACAGTAACTGTAAATGACAAAAGACTTAAAAATAGCTATGGTTAAAGATCTGGTAAGAGTTCGTTAACAATGTGATTAACATGGAAATTTGGTTATTTCCTTGGCACACAACCTCTTGAGGACTCCTCCAATACTGAGCAGGGGGCTTCCTGCAGAACAAACGAGCAAACAAGATGGACCCTAGGAGCATGCCAGTGACATGGGATCCATGAGTTGTATCCCATCTCATACCATCCAGAAGCAGCCAGCCTCAGAGAATGCCAAAACAGCCCTCTAACGGCAAACCTGAATCAGCAGCTCACAAGCAATATCCTGAACGTGGTGCCTGCCTCAGGATGCAGTATTTGCTGAAATCAAAGACTTCGGTACAGGGCCAAGTCCCCACTAAGTAGAACACAATGGGTGTGGGGAAGAGGAGTGACCCCGATTACCATCACTCCCAGTGATTCAATCACAATAGGGAATTTTGTGCTTCCCATTCTTGTAACTCCGGGCTCTGCAGTGTTAGAAGTTCTGGTCTCCAAAGGGTGCACGTACTCTTGCCAGGAAACACAGAAAGTGTCTCATTAAACACCAAAGTGTAGTTACCACTAGGACACTTGGACTCCTTGTGCCCTGAGCCTGGAAAGTCAACATACTGGCTGTGGTATTTGACCCTAATCAGCTGAAGAAGATGGCGCTGCTTTACAAGGATGGGGAGAGTATGTGTGGAATCTGGGTGGTATACTTGGGCACCTTCTGGTATTTCCTTTCCTCCCGATGCCAATGGTCTAGACACAAACAGCAACTGCTCTCTGGAAAAGGCGTGGCATGATTGCTTAGGGCGCAGGCTGTGGGGAATGAAGGTTTGGGTCACACCACCAGGGGAGTCAGCAAGGCCTGCCAAGATAACTACAGCTGAGTGCAAGGGGGAATTTAGGATGAATAGTGGATTAGGGGGAGGAGGAGGACCAGTGTCAACCTGAAACCTACCTCGGCATTAAGAGCTACTATTTGTCCCACTAACCTTCCTCTTCTAGGAGAAGTGGTTAAGCTGTCTCTGTAAGGCTGTTATGTTCACCTGTTATCCTCTGATGATGGTATCTGAAGTGCACAGGGCAGGCAGTTGGAAAGGGAAGATGGATGTAAAGTTTCAATAACAAGCTGGAACCCATAACCACAAAAATGAACTGAAACCACTCAGAACTTGCTCCTTCTGATTTGGGTGGTGTGGGGCAAACCTGGGCCCTTCATTATCATGGAGCTAGACACACACCTGGTCCAGGAGTCAGGGAAACTGAAGGAAGATCCAGCAGAAGGAGAAGCAGTTTCAGGCTCAGCCGCTGCCTCCTCATCGAGGATCACGTATCTGCTATGAAATGGCTGCTGCTTCACATCCACCCTCCCAATCTCCCACAAGAATCTCTTATGGCCAGCACTAACCAAAAACATAAAGAGAATTCTGGGTAATGTAGGTGAGCCTAGGCAAGCTGACATCTTACAAAACCATCATGACCTTATCTTAAATGACCTCCCATTACTTTTATGCCCTTAACAAAACTTGTTAAGGTTCCTTGTGACCTGACTTCCACCAGATTTCCTGCTTTATCTCCTCTTCCTCCCTACCACCCCCGCAATCTCAGGCTATATGTATTTATGTATAGTACAAATGTTCTGACTTTTCTAACCTTTCCACACTATTCCTTGTTGCTGGAAGACTTTTCATTCCATCTCTCTTCCCCTAACCTGGCCGAGACCTATTCACCCTGAACCTATGGGTTCAGCTTTTTTTTTTTTCTTTTTAAAGATTTTATTTATTTATTTGACACAGAGAGAGTGATCACAAGTAGGCAGAGAGGCAGGCAGGGGAAGGGGAAAGCAGGCTCCCCGCTGAGCAGAGAGCCAGATGCAGGGCTCGATCCCAGGACTCCGAGACCATGACCTGAGCCGAAGGCAGAGGCTCAACCCACTGAGTCACCCAGGCGCCTCTGGCTCAGCTTATTTTTGGAAACTTTCCCTGCGGGGCACCTGGGTGGCTCAGTCATTAAGCAGCTGCTTTCAGCTCAGGTCATGATCCTAGGGTCCTGGGATTGAGCCCCACATCGGGCTCCCTGGTCAGCAGGAAGCCTGCTTCTCCCTATCCTCCTCTTCCTGCTTGTGTTCCCTTTCTCGCTGTGTGTCTTTCTGTCAAATAAATAAAACCTTAAAAAGAAAAAAAACAGGAAACCTTCCCTGACGTATCACTTTATTCTTGGCAGCCAGTACAAAACCTCCATAGTTAGCAACCAACAAATTTTGGTTGAGTAAATTAATACATGCCAATGACAATTAGAACTGATTATAACTGAATGAATATGGCTGCAGTCTTGGGAATACAGGAGATTAAGTGTTATAGTTAAGATCAGTGGGTAGATAATATATCCAGCCTATTAAAACATGTGGAACACAATTCAGTTTGGCAGAAATATACATGTTCCATTTATCCATTTATCCATTTATTCACTCTACCCCTTTGCTCTATGAACCCCCATTTTAACACCCACTTCTTGCTCAGTTTGAGTCTCCCACAAAGCAGAGCCTAACACCAGGTTGTTTGTTTGGGAGGTGATTCCTGGGAGTAGGATTAAAAATCAGAAAGGGAAAAAAGGGAAAGGGGAAAAGCCAGGAAAGAAGTTATTGAACTGGTTAATGCCCTGAGCGGTGAAGTTTTATCTGACCAGAAACCCTCTGAGGAACTGGGGAGAACATTAGATATCCCTCTGGAAGGAGGCTGACACACTTAACCACTAATCCCATCCTTTTTGGTTTTGACTGCTGCTCTAAGGAGCTTGTCCCTATCCCTTTCCCAATACTTCCAGCCAGATGGGGATGAATGAGATCCCAAAAGATCTTTAGAAAAAGCCCCAGCGTGGAAAATTAGAGACACCACCAGCACTTGTGGGGGACATTAGAAGCAGACACAAAAATTATCTACCATAGCTATAATAAAGGTGGGTTGAGATAATGTGGCTTAAGTCACCAACAAGTTCTGCTCCACTTCCCAAGAACCTTTATCTCCATTAATCACTAGATGCCACCATAATTACAAAAGGAATAAGAAACACCAGACCAATTTTACTTCCTTCTTTCAGAGAACTCATTACTTGGACATTCAGGGAAATTCCACTAATTTATTGCATCTCTGTATAGATAATACAAAGAAAAGAGCTAGCTGGATAGAAGGGGTAACTAGCTTGCTGCCAGCTGACTGCTTTATTCAAAGAATGTTGATCAATGAGGCAAACTCCCAGTTATATGTGTCTTCCTTCTCTTATGTTGTATGGGAATGGTAAGCCTAGAGTTGTGCAATGCAACAACCTAGCCTAGCACAGAACAGCTACTCACCAAATGTTATTGGAAGATACAAGAGCGGGTGAAACATCAAAGAATTGTTTGACCTAGAGTATTAGGAAAATAGAGATCAGTGGTTCTCATATGGGGACCATTTTGCCACCCAGAAAACACCTAGCAACGTCTAGAGACATTTTTGGTTGTCACAACTAGAGAAGATGGTGCCTCTGAAATCTAGTGGGTAAAGGTGAGGATGCTGCCCAGCATCCTGTAATATACAGGACAGCTTCTCCTTACCCCAACAGAGAATTATCCTGTCCACAATATCGATAGTGGCAGCGTTGAAAAACCCTGACACAGATAAAGGGTATCTGGGTATTGATACAGATCAGTATATAGATACATATTGATATATTTATGTAAACATTTATTTCTCCATTTAATATAGTTCATATTTTTTTAAAAAAACCATATTTAATTACAAATTATTTGTCCTACATGCCAGCAATACAAAGTGTTGCATTAGTACCACCAAAACCAAAGGAATTGGTGAGTCCAATACATCTTTTCTCAATTTTCCATTCCTGTGCCTTTAGTGGAACATAATTGAGATCAAATTCTGGTTCTGTACAATCCAGGTTTAAAGTAGGTGGTAGTTTTTGATAATAACAAGCCAAAGCAGTAAAAGCTGCCTCAACTGCCCCTGCGGCTCCCAACAGATGTCCCGTGGCTCCCTTAGTTGAAGAAACTGCAAGGGCAGGTGCATGGTCTTTGAAAAGATGTTTGATAGCTTTGTTTTCAGCAGCATCTCCCAATGGGGTGGAAGTAGCATGCGCGTTGACATAGGATATCTCTTCAGGTGGTACACCTGCATCTTTTACAGCTGCAGCCATACATCTAATAAAATAAGGAAAGAAGTTCATCAGAACTAAGTTTAATTTGAACACAGGAGTCTTTATATGGCTTATAAGAAAAAAATAAACATATATGCTGGGTGAAGAGAATCCTTTCCTCTAATAACAGAACCCGACTTGGATTACCAGATGAATTAGAATGCCACCTGCATGGGAATAAGGAGTAACCCCCAATACCCTGGACTGATTCAACACCATGAGATAAACACACAGGCCTATAGGTTTTATAATCTCTAACAAAATATATTTCCATTTATTTGAATTGGTATTTTTCTCTGGAGGAAAAACCATGTTGACTCAAGCCTAGAATAGTTTTTCTTCTAGGAATTTTTTATCAAGGGGGGGGGGGGGGGGGTGTGTATGTGTGTGTGTATGTGTGTATGTAGTGATTCCAAATGTGGTAAAACATTTTATAACTGTGTTTTAATTTTTTCTCGCACATTTAAATGTAAAACTTGGCATATTTCTCAATAATCTAAAAATGGCTGCACCATTACTTTGGTGCTTCAAAAAACTTTTCGAAATTCTATTTAGGCTGTAAGAATGCTAAATAAATGAAGTACAACACCAAGCAAAAACAAACAAACAAACAAATCAGAAAATAAAACATTTCTCTAGAAGAATCTTTGAAAACATCATCAATGTCAACACCTTCTGTTTCAGTTCCTGATCTCTGGACTGCATATATTTCCTTAAGAGGTAGCTCCGGCTGTAATTTGAAGTGTGATGAAGGGTTTCACCTAAATATAACTAGTTCTTCATCTAGCTGGCTACTGTTTGACACTTCTAGCACCAACAACTATTTGCTAAAACTCAAAAGCATAATTCAGGGGCCAGTAAACTATGGCCCTGGCCAGATGCCTGTTGACCCTTGAATAATATGGCTTTGAAGAGTGTGGGTCCACTTAAATGTAGATTTTTTATACTACTGTACTGTAAATGTATTTTTTCCTCCTGATGATTTTCTAAATAACTTTCTCTTTTCTCCAGCTTAGCTTATTGTAAGAAAACAATATACGTGTTCATTGTTTATGTTATCAGTAAAGCTTTTTGTCAACAGTAGCCTATGAGTAAAGTTTGGGAGGAGTCAAAAGTTATACATGGAATTTTTGGTTGCACAGCGGGCCAGTGCCCCTGACCCCTGCATTGTTCAAAGGTCAACTGTAGCTTCACTGGAGTACGTCCATTCATTCATATATTGTCTATGGCTGCTTTCGCACTAGAAGACAGATTTGAATAATTGTGACAGAGACTCTATGGCCCACAAAGCTGAAAGTACTATTTGTGCCTTTACAGAAAAGGTCTGCCAACCCCTGGCCAAGTAAACTGGTTAAAACATAATATGATCTAAGCAGGCTAATCCATTAGCTAACACATTAACAGGGATTTTTTTTTTTAACTTAACTATCTCTTCTGCTATATCAACTTGCTTTTCAAATTGTGGTTCTCAGACCAGCAGCATCAGCATCCACTGAGCTTGTCAGAAAGGCAGAATCTCTAGCACCACCCCAGGCCTAGAGTCAGAATCTGCATTTTAATATCCCTGGTATCCCTGGGTGGTGAAAAGTTAGAAAGTACTGACTTAGTAACAGCAGAACCTGGTTGAAATGGCACAGAGACCGGACACAACTAGAAGAAAGGGTTGACTTTGCTCTCTGAGATGATGAAGGGCCAAAGAGGAGGACTGTGGGAGGGAGCACTCTGACAGCTGTTAAACACAACTGGAAGTATGAAAGATTGGCAAAGACACACACGGCCCTCTTCACAACTTTACATGCCTTAACTAAAATCCAGTTTCTGTTAAGGATGTTCAAATGCTTTCAAATATTTCAAATATGTTAAAGCAAAGAATTCAAAACCGTTTTGTTTAGTCTAAAATGGAAAAACATCAAAGACAGTGTATACCACGGGCAGATACTACAATACTGGACTCCCTAATTTGAAAGTCTAATAAAATGTCTTTTTTGAAGAAATATTTTAAATAAAACTAGTCTTGGGGCACCTGGGTGGTACGGTGGGTTGAGCAGCCCACTCTTGGTTTCAGCTCAAGTTGTGATCTTGGGGTCCTAGGATCCTGGGATCCTTGCATCAATGTGGAGTCTGCTTGGGATTCTGTCCCTCTCCCTCTGCCCTTCCCACCCCCACCCCTGTGCGCTTGCTCAAATAGGTAAATACATCTTTAAATTAAAAAACCAAAACAAGTCTTTACCTTAAGGCACCTTCTCCTTCAGGGTCAGGCGCAGTTATGTGACCAGCATCACCTGAGAGTCCATAGCCCAAAATTTCTGCGTAGATCCGTGCCCCTCGTTCAATGGCATGATCATATTCTTCCAGCACCAGCACAGCTGCACCTTCTCCCATTACAAAACCATCTCTTTTGGGGTGAAATGGTCGACATGCCAACTTAGGATCAGGGTTTGTGCTCAGAGCACGGGCTCTGGAAAACCCAGCAAGAGATAAAGGACTAATGCAAGAATCTGTACCTCCAGCCACCATCACATCAGCATCACCATGGGCTATAAATCTAAAGGAGTCTCCCACAGCATGAGCTCCTGTGGTACAGGCTGTAGACACTGCATGATTGGGGCCCTTGAGTTTATATCGAATGCTGACCTGGCCTGCTGCCATATTGACCAGAATCTTAGGGACAAAGAATGGGCTGACTTTACTATAACCTTTTGTCTGAAACATCAAAGCAGTTTCAGAAACAACTTCAAGAGGAACCATTCCCATGCCAATTGCAACTCCAGTAGTCACTTGATCAGCTTCTGATTGAGGGTGCCAGCCAGAATCTTTCATGGCTAACTCTGCAGCCCCAATGGCCATAACGGTTGGAGAAGACATGGACTTGATATCGGATTTGGACACAAAGTTTTGTTCATTGAACTGACCTTCATCACCACCTCTTGGCACATAAGCAGCAACACTGCAAGGGATATTCTTATACTCCTCACCAACCAATGAAATAATTCCACTCTCTCCTCGGATGAGACGATCCCATACCAGCTGAGTTCCAACACCCAGAGGAGTCACTAAGCCAATGCCTGTAATGACAACCCGCCTACGAAATCTGAACGTTGGCACAGTTCCGGAAAACCTCCTTTTACTTCCTATTAGTCGCTGGCATAATCTTGGATATACATGAGGGCTTGTCATTTTTAAGAAATTTTGCAAGCAGTTTGACAACATGATTGAGATTCGATCAGAAACACATTCCTGTAACAGATCACAACACGTCCTGGAGGTAATCACTGTTGTTTAAATACTTTATAGGCCTAACAAACGATAGCCGATTTCCTTCTGGCGCTCGGTGTGAGCTGTTAATGAAGACAGGGAAAACAACGTTAACATCACTTTAATTTAGACTTATCATCAAACCGTTTGGAGTTCCCTTTTTAGACTGTTAAGTACCCTCAGACATTCTAAGACAAAGAGGCGAAATGATTCATTCAATTCACAACAGAATTACACCATGAAAAACAGGCAGTCCCAGCCTTTTATGGACTGCAGAAAGCATCCTTTATTAGGATTACTGAAGCCTTATTCCAAGTAGTATTTCTGGTGTCGATGACACAAAAAACACCAGCGCCTATCCTCTTGAGGCAGGGGTAGGTGAACTTTATTGGTCTTCAAAAGCATGGTGAAAACTAGGGCTTTAACCCAGGGCGGGGTTTGGGAGTGAGGGGGCGTGGCCAACTCCCCACACCGCCTCTCAAGCACCACCACACACGACCCCCGAAGAAAGCACGCCCAGAGGAAAGGAAACCAGGCCCAGGCCATCACATTCCCCCTCCCCGATTCAACCCACACCCGATGTGGCGGTGGAGGAGCAGAAGGAAAAGCGTAGCCAGCAGCTGATACCTTCACGAGGCCTCACGCCGGCCGCGCAGCCGCTGTCTGCACACGCCCGTCCGCTCATGCGCGCGCACGCGCTGTGTCTGAGCTGGGTGCGGCCGGGGGCCGTTCTTCCGCGTCACCTTGGTGGAGGTCAGACCGCGGGCGGCAAGGCTCACGTTGCGGGGGTGGAAACGCCCCTCGGGCGATCTTAGTGACTGGATGATAACCAAGAACGTTCCTGGGACGTGATGAGATAGATTTTTTTGCCCATCAGAAAAGGATTTTGGCGAGGGGAGGGGAGTAATGATGATGTCCAAATATTTCTATCTGCTGGGAAAAGGGACGCAGTCATAGTCTACTGAAATCCTTGGAAAGAATTAAGGAAATTGTTGTAGCCTCAAAGTTATTACTCTACCTCCCGAAATTGTTTATAATAGCAAAGTAGAACTAACCAAAGTGCCCGACATCTGGAAATGGGTTGTTGTAGTACACCTAAAGGCTGTGCAGCCATTTAAAATAATTTTGTAAGTGAATATTATGTAGAAAGGTGTTGAAACCATGTTAGGAGATACAGGTTACAAAATAGTATATATAACTTAAAATATGTGTGTGTGTGGTGTGTGTGTGTGTGTGTGTGTGTGTGTGTGTGTGTGTGTGTGTTTTAAGATCTGCAAGGATGTACAATGATTGTCAAGTTCCCCCATTTTTGCTTAGTCTTATTTACTATCTAGTTTATAATAAATAATACTTTTGTAATAATAAAGCGTTTTTGCTTTTTAAAAATTACTGGTTCTGGGGCAGGGCTCCAAATGCCATGTGTAATGTCTAACAACAATGGAGACAAAAATAGAAATTGTAGACATTTATTGCTAAGTGTCTAAAAAATACAGTAACTTCATTTGTTTAGAGCTGTAAATCTATAAAGGAAAATATGAAATATTAAAAAGAAAGAAAGAAAGCAGCAAGATACTTATTTAGATGACCTCTGTTGCTTACATGCTATCCCAGGTGTGAGGTTTGTGTCCTTTTTTTCTTTTTTAGATAAAGGATTGACGATATAATCTGCATCTGATCCTCCCAGCCATATTTGTTTCTTTCTGAACAGTGTGTCTTGAAATGATTGTTTCTGAGTGCTCGGCCTTCATTCTCAGTTCTAGAGAATTTTGGTTAAGTTTATCTTTTCCTGGTTAGTACTGGACTTAAACGAGTTTTGAAATATACTTTGCGTAAAATAATTTAGGAAAGCCCAGTATGACCTTGAGTCTTGATCCAAGGCCTATTCAGTTACTTCTTAGCATGACTTTATTCATTAACTAGAGAGTTAATTTAAGAGGAATTAAACAAACACATGTTGTTATAAAATAACTAAAACTTGAGAGAAATATCCAAACTTGCTGTCCCTTTTCATTCTTATGGAATATGTTGAAATTACAATGTGAAAAGATCTACAATATATTTTTTGAACCCAACCTCCTATGAAACATACAGTTTTAATGTGCTGTTTTTTCTCTTTTGTAATAGCACAAGAATATCTTGGATAAGAAGTGACAAATCAGTTAAAATCTTGTAGAAAAGTAAAACCACCAAAAAGTCATTTCATTTTTATTTCTACTTCTGATCTCCTTTCCTTTGCTTTGGAAAGAGGTAAGAATGTCTATGATACTCCAATAGCCACAAAATGATTTAGTACTCTATTTCTTGCTGGTGATGCTGATGCTGATATAACCATGGCTGTAAACTCATTGTAACATCCATGAAAGCAAGGCCTGTGCTTATCTACTTCACTGCTTCACAGTACCCAGCACAGTGCCAGGCATTTGGTAGTCACTCCATAAATATTTGGTGAATGACTGAATTATGAAATGAATGAATAAACACATACACTTTATTGGTTAGTATATACGCAATGCTTTGTGTGTGTTTTTTTTTTTACCAAATGACTTTTTTTTTTCTTTTCACAGTAACTTTTTTGTTTCATCAGTTCTAGGGCTGTCTGTGTAAGGTATGATCATCAGTTTTGTCTTTCCTACTTCTTTAACAATCTCTTATGTCCTCCATCAGACTACTTTGTATAAACAGGTGCTCAATAAATGTTGGTTAGTCACTTAATGCACTCACACAATAGTGAATCACCATACCAATTCCTCAAAGGCTTCACCTCCTCTCCCTGTTACAGACTTCAATCCCGGGGAAATTTAATGGGTTATTTCTTTTTTCTATTCCATTTAAGAATAGTGCCCCCATGTGTCAACTCTAACAATGGTGTGCTTAATAAAGCTGGAATCTTAAAAAATATATATTTTTTTTTAATTATTATTTTGGAGGAAAAAAAATCAAGTAAAGGAATGGAAAGTTCAATGCTAATTTAAAACTAGAACATCCTTGAGTTGACACAATGTTAAAAAGTATAAAGAGATTAAGAGTAGCCTACTATCTTCAACTCTTCTAAAGGAACTGAAAAATCAAAATATTTTCAACTTAGTAGAAGAAGCAGACAGGGAAAACAATGAGTCAAAGTCACTTATAATAAACTCTCTTAACCAGCTGCATAAATGGTGATATCCAAGAGAGAGTGTACTTAAGAACTTCAATGGGAGTATTGGTAAATAGTAATTTGGAATGCTTTAAATTTCAGGTGACTTAAAATAATAACTTACTGAATTACCCTCAAAATGATGATTTCTATAATTCCTTGGATTGCATTATCACAGCATGAACTTTATGGCATTGGTTTTCACACTGTGTTTGCATGTTCCCCATAAAGATACCTGGTGACCATTACCTCTGTTAAGGCACAGGCTAAACTGATAGCATTCTGTCTCCCCCCCCCCCCCCCCCAGCTTAAATTCTACAGCATATCCACTTTGGTGCTTTCTATATACTGGGTTTCCTCCTAAGAATTTATTTGAAAGAGAACAAAAAGTGGTGTTACTTAAAAAAAAAAAAAGTCAAAATACTATATAGTATATAATAACTTTAAGCTATTATAAGGATAAACAAATGTGAAAAAAGAAATTCAAATTAAGGTGAATGTAATGTTATGTTTTGTTTTGTTTTGTTTTGTTTTATGGAGAGAGACACAGTGAGAGGGAACACAAGCAGGGGTAGTGGGAGAGGGAGAAGCAGGCTTCCCGGCCAAGGAGGGAGCCAGATGATGGGCTCAATCCCAGGACCCTGGGATCATAACCTGAGCCGAAGGCAGACACTTAACAACTGATCCACCCAGGTGCCCCCTAAGGTGATATAGTTTGTGGTTAGAGACACCTACCTATAATTCTAAGCCCCCTTCCCCGCACCTTTCCATCCTTTAGAGTTGTGGGTAGTACATGTACAGCTAGGGACATTTCCCAGCCTTCCCTCTTTTCTCTAGATGGGGCTTCATTTTCTCCAATTATATGGTAGAGAAAATGCTGTATGTCATTTTGGGCCCATGTGGTTAAGAAGCAGGTATGCCTCCTTTTTGCCCAACCACTAACTAAATGCAGAAGTCTCTGGGGCCTTATGGCAGGAGTTAGCAAACTACAGGCCAATTCCAGCAGGCTGCCCATTTTTGTAAAGTGTCATGGGAATGCAGCCATGACCATTCATATTAAAGTACTATCTACAGAACTACAAGTGCAGAGGCAGAATTAAAGAGTTGAAACAGAGACCCTATGGCCACAAAGCCTTAAACATTACAATCTGGCCCTTTACAAAAAATGTTTGTTGACCTCTATTCTACATGATGGAAGCAGCCTGGGAGACTGGATCATTACATGGAGGAAAGCAGCCCACTGATTAATGACACCTGCTTTTTAAACTGCTATGTGAACAAGAAATTTCTCTTGTGTTAAGTCACTAAAAATTTTAATTACAGCAGCTAGTTACATACTATTGGTTAAACACACTGGTCTTGGAAGCTGTTCCAAAATGCTACATATTAAAAACTTTTCCCTCATATCTAGCAGATGAATGGTAATTGAAGCACATGGCTTGGCTCAAGGTCTTGCTCTGAGATACTGGAAGAAAACTTCAAATTTAAGAAGCAAACAGAAGATAAATAATCAAGAACATTTAAATAAGCAACTTACGCAAATAACTTAAAAACACAAGGTCAAGAGAATGTTTGTTGAAGTTTGAAAGATAGGTCTGCAAAGAAGGAAGCCATTGGTAAAGCACATTTTCAAGGACATGGTGAGGCAGAGAATGGATTAAAGAAGTTAGGATTCATCTTCTAAAAGAATAAAGGACATTAATGACATGATCTACCTATGAAGCAAAGTCACAAAGTAACACCTGCGCTTACCATGTGAGATGCATATTTTTCTGCCAATCCCGCCTCCCATTTTATTCTATTCTATTTTGTCCTTACGGTATATATGCTTTATGTTGGTCACCGAACGGTAAATTGAGTCCACAACCCACTACGTTGCAACCTGGGTTTGAAAACTAATTATTGGGGCGCCTGGGTGGCTCAGTGGGTTAAAGCCTCTACCTTTAACTCAGGTCAAGATACCAGGGTCCTGAGATCAAGCCCCGCATCCAGCCGGCAGGGAGCCTGCTTCCCCCTCTCTCTCTGCCTGCCTCCCTGCCTACTTGTGATCTCTGTCAAATAAATAAATAAATAAAAATCTTAAAAAAAAAAAAAAAAACTAATTCTTTACAGAGACGTCATGCTATTTGAACTGGCACTTAAGAAAAAGATCTTTCCATCATTCATCTAATTCTAAAAAGAAGCTATATACCAGAAACCCAGTAAAGTTTACAGACACCCATTTTAAACATTTGTTTTAAACATGGTTTTAAGCATTTGTTGCTCGGTCCTTCTGGGGTCTTTCATCCACACTTATCTAGGAACACGGAGCAGTCTTCGAGGAGGAAGCTGTAAGATTGTTTTGTCTGGGGGGAAAGGGGTGGTTGTACTACGGGGTTTTCCCACCTTCTTGGCTGGATCAATGGAAGACCACACTTGGGCGCGGAAGGAGCCGGGTTTCTAGGACAAACTGGCCAGCGTGGGCCAGCATCTCCCTGCCCCACCCAGCTGAAGCCCCCGGGCCCTGACAACCAAGCACCCCGCCCCTTCTTTCTGATCGAAGCCCGAGGCCCTGGCGATGATGCCAGGTTTGGACTCCAGGTCCAAACCCCGACTGTCCCAGAGACGCCCCCAGCCCGCCCGGCTGAGGCCGCCCCCGCCCCTCCCCGCCCCCGCCCCCGCCCCCGCCCCTCCCCGCCCGGCCCCCGACCTCCCGGTCGAGTGCCCCGCCCCTCCCGGCTCGCCGCAGAGGAGGTAGCGCGCCGTAGCGCCTGCTCAGTGCGGGACGCGGCGCGCGAAGGGCGGCGACGGCCGCGGGCGCTCAAGCATGGCGGCAGCGGCGCTGGGCAGCTCGTCGGGTTCCGCGTCCCCGGCAGTGGCCGAGCTGTGCCAGAACACCCCGGAGACCTTTCTGGAGGCCTCCAAGCTGTTGCTCACCTATGCGGACAACATCCTCAGGTGCGGGGCTGAGGAGTCGCGCGGAGGGGAGGGAGGGTGCCGCGGCGGACGGTGAGGGGGCGCCTGGTTGGACTGGGTTTAGGGGTGCCCGCTCGGGCCCCGAAGGGTGGCGAGGCCAAAAGGGACTGGGGTCTGAGCTGGCTTTGGCTCAGTATCGGAGCCCACGGGCCAGGGGCCTCGAGCCCCGGTCGGGCTACTCCCTCCCGGGAAGAGTAAGTTTCTTTGCACTTGTGACTTGGCACCTCATGTCGGGGTGCTCTAGGGGGAACTGGAGGTCGCAGGAATGGCGCAGAGTGGAGGAAGGTGAGAAGGCGTGCCCTAAACATTTGCCTCCTTTCGGGTTAACTGTCTTAATGTCAGTACAGAAACGGTAACACTGTTTCATTCCCAATGCGTGGATTTTACCGAACAGAGTGCCTTAGCCACAGGCTTATGAGAAGTTAGTCTCGACAAAATCCTCGCCCTAACGTCTTGTGACTACCTTAATATTAAAACATACTACTACTGAAGTGGTGGTGGGGGGTTACATTTTTATGGTCTTTTCCTGCCCACTTTTGTTGGTTAAAATATTATTAACCATATTAAAGTTAGAATTTTCATATTGATACCTGTATTCTGCTTTTCAACATGACCTTTTAAATAAGAATTGATAAAGGTTACCTTGGCTGAGAGTAATTTGTTTCATTCTCTTGTGAGCAGAAGTACACTTGTAGATCCTTAAGGGACCTTACAGGTTTGGGGAATTGGGATGCAAGTTTGATTATTCATTTTGAATTATTATCTGCTTCAGTTCTTAGATCAAATCATGTAGTGGCTTGTGTGGGGGAGGGAAGAAATGGAACCGAGGGTAAAGAGCTCCAGCTGCCAGGTACTTGTGGGGTTACCTCATTCATCAGGTCACCATGATTGTTATCTAGGTTCTCTCGCCCACCTCACCCCTTGGTGCACTTTTTCTTCTAAGTGGTGGATGTATTGGCATGAAGTCTAAAAGGAAATTCTTAGTTTCAAGGTTATAGATTTGATGTGACCCAATTTTAGAGACGGTGGTTACAAATGTAGTGTTTTAACCCATGGTATTTCATTGTTCATGGCAATATATTGTTCATAGAGGTAGCACTAAGGATTTTAAAAGTAAATTGAAGGGAAAATGAGCCTTTATTATATGCCAAATGCCCTAAGGGATGTGCAGCATGTGTAGTGTACACAGCTACACAATTGTGACCTATGTGGAGACTGCCTTTCTCCTCTGTGACACCTTCTCAACTCACCTCTACCTTGTGAGGTCTAACAGCTCTTCAAAGCACAGGGATGCCGATAGACGCTGCATGAATGAACTCATAAGCTGAGTCCTCTAGGTCTTACTGAGCTGGGACCTCCAAACTGGAAAGCAACCAAGCCATTTAAATCCCATTATTCAGAAAAGGGAAGTGGCCTTGTAATAGGATTCACTTCTGCTTTTAATCTAGTGAAACCCAAAATGCTAAGATCAAGGTGTTTTGAGGAAGGAAAACTTTGCATGCAAATAATGACTTGGCATCATAATTACCATTATGAATATTTATCAAACTCATAGAAGAAGCTTGGCATGCTGTCAGTTCATTTTACAGTCTTTCCTATGGCTTGTGTTTCTGATCTGATTTCTGTTTCTGATTCAAAGGGTATTGAATTATTAATCTGGAACTCATAATTGAAGATGGTATGAAAAGCTACCCTTGTTAGTTTAAGTACAGGTATATCTTGTTTTATTGCTCTTCACTTTATTGTGCTTTGCAAATACTGGCTTTTTGTTTGCTTTGTTTTGTTTTTTACAAATTGAAGGTTTGTGGTATTGAGTGAGCCTATTGGTTCCATTTTTTCCAACAGCTCACTTTGTATCTCTGTGTCACATTTTGGTAATTCTTGTGATATTCAGACTTTTTCATTGTTATATTTGTTTTGGTGGTCTGTGATCAGTGAGCCCTTTCATTTAATTGAAATATAGTTTACACACAATGTTACATTAGTTTCACTAGTACAACATAGTGATTCCACAAGTCTATACATTATGCAGTGCTTACAAGTGTAGTTGCCATCCATCGCATACAGTTCTATTATAACACCATTAACTATATTCCTTATATGTATCTTTTATCTCCATGACTTTTTTTTTTTTTTTTTTTTTTACTGAGCTCTGTGTCCAGTGTGGGGCTTGAACTTATGACCCCAAGATGAAGAATCACATGCTCTACTGACTGAGCCAGCCAGCTGCCCCACCCCCACACCCGTGACTTACTTATTCTGTAACTGGAAGCCTACATCTCCCACTCCCCTTCACCCATTTTGCCCATCCCACATTTCCCCCTCCACCCCCACAACCATCTTTTGTACTCTGTTTTTATGTGTTTGATTCTAATTTTTGTTTATTTTGTTTTTTTATCCGCATAGAGGTGAAATTATGTGGTATTTGTCTTTCTCTTTTTGACTTACTTCTCTTATCATAATGCCATCTATCTAGGTCCATCCATGTTGTTGCAGATGACAAGATCTCATTCTTTTTTATGGCTGAGTAATATTCCATTGTGATTATGTATACCACATCTTCTTTCTTCTGTGATCAGTTATCTTTGATGTTAATATTGTTTTGGGATGTACCAACTGCACCCACTTAAGATGGTAGACTTAATCTATAAATGCTGTGTGTGTTTTGACTGCTCCACCCATTGGCCCTTCTCCTGTTCCTCTCTCTTCCTTAGGCCTCCCTGTGTCCTGACACACAATAATTATTGAAATTGGGCCCATCAGTAACCCTGCAGTGGCCAAGTGTTGCAGTGAAAGGAAGGGCTGCACGTCTCTCAGTTTAAACCCAGCTTAGTGAGGGCATGTCAAAATCCATGATAGGTAGGCCTGTTGTCCCAAACAGCCAAGTTGCAAATGCAAAAGAGAAGTTCTTGTTTTGTTTTTTGTTTTTTGTTTTTTAAGAGAAGTGCTTTAAGGAGGTTAAAAATGCTACTCCAATGAACACACAAATGATGAGAAGGCAAAACAGCCTTATTGCTACTAATGGAAGAAGTTTTAGTGGTCTAGATAGAGGATCAAGCCAGCCACAACATTTTCCTAAAACCAAAGCCTAATCCTGAGCAAGGCCCTACCTCTTCAGTTCTCTGAAGGTTGAGAGAGGTGAGAAAACTGAAGAAGAAAAGTTGCAGGTTAGTAGAGGTTGGTCCATGAGGTGTTAGGAAAGAAGTTGTCTCCATAACACAAAAAGGCAAGGTGAAGTAGCAAGTGCTGATGAGAAGCTGCAAGTTATCCAGAAGACCTAGCTAAGGTGATTCATGAAGGTGGCTACACTACAACACATTTTCAGTGTAGACCACATAGCCTTTTATTGGAAGAAGATGCCATCTAAAATCTCATAGCTAGAAAAGAGAAGTCAATGTCTGACTTCAAAAGGCTGACTCTTATGTTAGGGGTTAATATAGCTGGTGACTTTAAGTTGAAGTCAGTCTTATTAACCATGCTGAAAATCCTAGGGCCCTTAAGAATTATGCCAAATCTATTTGGCCTATACTCTATAAATGGAAAAAACAAAGCCTGGATGACAGCACATCTGTTTGCTATGCAATTTACTGACTGCCACTGTTGAGACCTGCTCAGGAACAAAGATTCCATTCAAAATACTGCTCATTGACAATGCAACTGGTCACCTAAGAGCTCTGATGGAAATGTACAGTGACATAATGTTGTTTTCATGCCTGCTAACATCCATTCTGCAACACCCATTCTGCAACCCATGGATCAAGGAGTCATTTGGACTTTCAAGTCTTTAACAGTTACATTTTGTAGGGCTATAGCTGCCATAGATAATAATTCCTCTGATGGATCGGGACAAAGTAAGTTGACAAACTTTTAGAAAGGATTCCTCATTCTAGATACCATTAACATTTGTGATTCATGGAAGGGGGTCAAAATATCAACTTTATTAGGCATTTGGAAGAAATAGATTCCAACTCTCATGGATGACTTTGAGGAAAGACTTCAGTGGAGGAGGGAACTACAAATGTGGTGGAAACAGCAAGAGAACTTGAATTAGAAGTGGAGCCTACAGGGGCGCCTGGGTGGCTCAGTGGGTTAAGCCTCTGCCTTCGGCTCAGGTCATGATCCCAGGGTCCTGGGATCAAGCCCCACATTGGGCTCTCTGCTCAGCGGGGAGCCTGCTTCCCTACCCCTCTCTCTCTGTCTGCTTCTCTGCCTGCTTGTGATCTATATCTGTCAAATAAATAAATCTTTAAAAAAAGAAGAAGTGGAGCCTATAGATACAGCTAAATTGCTGCAATCTCTTGATAAAACTTTCATGGATGAAGAGTTGCTTCTTATGGATTAGCAAAGGAAGTGGTGTCCTGAGATGGAATCTGCTGGTGAAGATTGTTGATATGACAACAAAGAATTTAGACTATAACATACTTTGTTGATAAAGCAGCAACAGGGTTTGAGGGGACTGATTCCAATTTTGGAAAATGTTCTATCAAACAGCGTTGCATGTTACAGAGAAATTGTTCATGAAAGGAAGGGTCAATTGATACAGCAAACTTCATTGTCTTATTTTAGGAAATTGCCCCACCGACACCAGCCTTTAGCAACCATCAACATTGAGGCAAACCCTCCACCAGGAAAAAGATTACAATTCACTGAAAATTCATATGGTAGTTAGCATTTTTTAGCATTAAAATATGTTTAATTAAGGTATGTACAATTTTTAAAAATAGAATGCTATTAAACACTTAATAGACTACCGAATAGTATAAACATAACTTTTATATGGAGTGGGAAATTTTAAAAATTCGTTTGACTTTAGTGTAATGTTCACTTTATTACAGTGGTCTAGACTCAAAACTATAATACCTCAGAGCTATGCTTACAGTAGTATTAGTCCCTGCTCTTAAATTAGAGTTTAAATTCCTTTAGGCTTCAGGAAGTTAGAAAACACTCTTTCTTCCACTTCTAAGTTCAGTGACTTGTTAACC